GTGACTCTAGGGACCTAGGCTAGGCCTAGAAGCAAAGGCTTGAGCTGAACCTCAAACCTTAATCTTAATCCGCAGGCTCTAAGTCCCCCAGTTTTCAACCCTATCTACCTAGGAGTTTAGAGTTTGTTTACGTAAGAGCTTAAGGTTGTGGGTCAGGGTTTATAGAGTTTAGGGTTTACGGGAAGCCCCATGCAGAGCCCCAAGCCTTAGCTGCCGCGACCCTTCATATTGTTATTAGAAAGCAAGCTGTAGTCATACACTACACAAGGGCCTAAGTAATTATCCGCGTTGTAAAGTTTAGCATGTTAGTTTGGGGTTTAAGGTTTGGGGTACCATGATAGAGAATCAAATGGACAAGTGGACAAGCAAATGGAAATAGACATAGAAACTGGGTTGTACTGTTGTTCTTTTGATCTAGGGTGTAAAGGAGACGCGGTCAGCCCGCTACACATCCCAAGGCCCCAGGATCCCACGATGCTAATGGCTTAACCCCTGAACTCTAGAACCTACACCCTTTACATCTTAGATTTTTCCACTGTTCGAAATCTCTTGATTTGGCTGAGCTGTTCACAGCCCTTTGAAGAAGAGTCTTTCAGGACTGGCGCTGCTTCGAGGCTGCCGATCCTAATGTAAGTAGAGTTCACGGTTTCAGGATTTAGGGGTTGAGGGTGTGAGGGTTTAGGGGTTCAGGGTTTATGTTGAAGTTTTGTTCGGGTTTAGGGTTCAGGATTTGGGGCTTGGTGATGCTTGGTGTAGGCATTTAGCATGTTGGTGTTCAAGCACTTCAAATTGGCGATCGAGAGCTGGCTGTCCTAGGGTTCGCGCTTTTTTGCGCTACACTGTTTCGCCTCAGTCCTAGATAGTGTTTAGCCGTTGTCTTAGTTTCTTTCAGAGCTCTCCTACTACTATTACTATATGAGCCATAGCATGAGCAAGAGACAACGTGTAGGTACACCATCCAAGACTAAAACGCTGCCACAGAGGGGAAGGCTATGCATTCGAAGGCCTCACTGACTGAATCAAAACAAGGCGGATGGAAGTCTTTCTGGCTCAGCCCGCGAGAAGCCAATTAAGACGAAACCTAGTGCTGGCTGTAGCCATCCTGCGTGAAGCCAGAGTTCACGACCCTAGTCACTCAAGAGCAAAGCCGACATGTGCCTAGACCCGCAACGTCCACTACAAGGAGTACAGTCTTAAATAAGCTATAGTCTAAACTCCGTAAAGGGGTAACATAGGGATTATATAGGGAAGTAGTACAGGGGTTATTCAGGGGGGTACTAGGAGTTTAGACTATATCTCAAGTGGGACCTCTGCGGGTTTCATGTTGGTTTGGGAGAGGATAGAAGTTATGTTATTTATTGGATTCCGCTAATTTTGTTTCCTTCACCGGGGATCCCGTAAGCCTACGCTGAGCGGAGTGCTGCGAGCGTGGGAGTGACAGCACGGAGGTCTTGATGCAGAATTTGTGCAAGCTTTTGGTCCATGGCTTTTCCATCCTGATCATATGGTGCATTTTCTCCTGTGGTTCAACAAAGGCCCTCCATACTTCCCAAGACCAGACCGAGAACTACAAAGAAGAGATACGCTACATTCCAGTTGCTTCATCCATACCGAGTGGTGGCCCTACCCAGGGCCTCCTATGTAGTTCCTGTGTTGGGTACTAGACTATAATCCCTAAGCATTGGAACCATGGTCAACCCAAAGAGGAACTGCCTAGGAGCCTTCGGTTAAACCCTGAACCCTTAACCCTAAATCCTAAACACTAAACCCTAATCCCTAAATCCAAAATCTTGAGCCCTAAATCCTAAAATGCATTTTCCGGCTACGGAAGTCGGAGGCACAAGGCCGAGCGAAGTAGAACGATTCCAGCAACAACTGGCCTTGACCTCGATGACCTCTGGGGAGTCTCAGATTTAGGGTTTAGAGAGTCTGTAGTTGAGGGTTTGGGGTTTATGGAGTCTGGAGTTTAGGCTTGGTTTGTCCAAATAATGCTTCCTTTTTCTGGGTCATTCTTGAATATGTCTTGTGTAAAACTGTTGCATTACGACACACTACGAAATACAGTTATAGTTTTTATTAGTATCTCAATGAGAAGGGTGCCCTACATATCAAGGGCCATAACATGCTGGGTCGGTTTGAGATCAGGCATGACCGGGCAAATAACGCAAGCCTGAACTTTTCCTATTTTTGCACCAGGCTATATAGAACAGCACTCACTCGATCAGAGGGTCATGATGCTGCTCATCGATCACGTGCTGACCAAGTATCCGCACACAAGGACGCAAACCTCGAAGTGGCCAAGGGTACCATTTTTTGACAAATTCCTATACCGCTATAATATCTCAACTAGGGGCCATCCACAGTCTGCAACACAGCAGCTCTGTACATATTTGTCCCGCCCAGCCGTTTCTTAACTTGCTGATGCGTAATCGGTTTGGGACTCTGCCTCAGGAATTACCATGGAAAGCATGGAGGGGCTAGTATAGGGATCCTTCCCCATTCCCACTCATTTCGGAGTAAACGTGAATGATGGACCCCTAAACCACAAACCCTAACTGCCGCGAACCTGAGTCGACATCGATCATGATTCCCTATCAGTGTAGTTGTGGGAGTTTGCCGAAACAATCCCTATCCAGTCTCCAATAAAGACCCTAACAATGACTTCCCAAAGCCCCACAGTCCCCTTCAATCCCAAGGGTCCCTAAGGAACTACGGTATGACTGCCATTATGGTGGTTGCTGTGGCTGGCATGTTTTGGTTGTGTTTGGGTCCCCCAGTCCTGGAGGAACTCAAAAGGCAGGTCTCTTGCGTTTCCAGTTGAGAGCATGCCTGTATTATTTCGTTCCAGCCCCGAACAACAGTCCGCTCTACTCCGCATGTTTTTGAGTATTCCGTTTGGCGGAGAGTTCGCTCTTTCCCGAACCTTTTGACATTAGTACTGACTGCCCAACATTATTCACATAGTTCATTTTACAACCAAATCTCATTTCGACCTTGCGAGCCCCCAATACATCACTCCAAGGATTTGGCTTTTGCTTAGCTAGGAATGAAGGAATGGATCCTGATAGTAGTCCCTATATAGCCCATTATAGTAGTTTCAATTTTCTTTTCCATTCCGCCATTCCCACCCTAAATTCTAAACCCTAAACCCTATAGTAGAATCCATTTGCTTTTCCATTCCTCCATTCCCACCCTAAACCGAAACCCTAAGCCCTATAGTAGATTCCATGTTCTTTTCCTTTCCTCCTTTCCCACCCTAAACCCTAAGCCCTATAGTAGATTCCATTTTCTTTTCCATTCCTCCTTTCCCAGCTGAGCAAAGGCCAGTTCAAGATCTGTTCAGGACACCGCTGCTGGCTCTCCAATTCAGCAGTGGATGCTGTGGAACGTGCTGGGGGCGCAGCCGTCCTGTTTCCAAGAGCGCCTGAGAAGGACTACCACAGCGGATGCGTGTTTCCGGACCGCCGTGAGTGTATATGTACACATATACATACAGATATATGTATATACAATATATGCATACGTATATGTATGTGCATGTAGGTGTATACATATATATATATATGGGCCATAGCTTAAACTCCTGGTAGAGGATTATTTCGGGGACTATTATAGGGGCTATTCAGAGGGATACTAGGAGTTTAGACTATGGCTCATATATAGAGATAGAGGAACATACCAAGAAATGATTCATCATTCGGATCTCTGAAATGGTTGGTTTCATGGTGGGCCTTCGATGCCGACTACCCCAGACTGTTTGATGTGTGATTAATAGCTTGTTCAAAGCATACCGGATCTACATAGTAGTACTAGTAATAGTACTAGCCATAGTGGGCATCCACAATTCATGATCCAGATCAGATGCCTGATGCAGCATTTGTGGCTTTCTGTGCTGCACAGACGTGTAAAGCGCCATGCCGGATGCAACCACAATGATGCTGGATCGTTTTTGAGTTTTATCTCCTTCTGTGTGTGTGTGTGCTGCTAAAGCCCAAAAAGGGTTAATATGTAGGTATGTCTGCACAGACATATGTGTATATATGGCCGTATACTTATGGCCCCTCAGCCCCAAAGCACGCACGCTCAGATGAGCGACCCAGGACAGATCCCCTCAGAGAGGAAACTTCTCCGACCGCTGCTGCTGTGAGGATTGGTGGTTTGACTTGTGTGGACTGTGAAAAGTACTGTTCCCTCTTTCAGATAGGGATTCACATCGGATTAGTGGAGGAAATGAAGCTTTCTCTGGACATTAGATGGAGAGGTTTCACATTACCATTCTTCGCATTGTCTCGGATTTTGGATGACGTTCCGGAAACTTGTCATAGCCTGGCACGCAAACACTTCTGCTTTGTTTAAAAGTTCTATGCCTCCCAGCACTACGATGAGCGCTAGAAAGCTGGAGGCGCTCACCAGCGCGCTAATCTTCCCACTAATACTCATGCGCCTACTAAAAACCGCCGACTCCGCCACAACCATCACCCTCACCCAGGCTATGTCCTTCGCGATCGTGGTCTGCGCATTTGTGTGCTTAGTTAGAATGGAGCTTCAGAAGCATGTCAAATCCCCTCAATGGTTTCTCAAACATGCGGCTCTTTTATGCAGACTGTTTTATGACGTTGCGGGAATGAAGGGAACGGCCGTTGCAATGTGCAGCCATGCAGCAACATGTTCTTCAACCCGCAGCAATGCTGCAGCTCGCATCAACCAGCAAAACATCACACTGATAGTCGAAAATAGCCATCATGAATAGGATCAATCATCTCATTTACATCATGATAGCAAATCATAGTGGTAACGCAGAAAGTGCAGCCTTAGACCCCAGCTGGCTTTGCGGTCCAATGTATTTGGTATCATGCAGATCCTTTGTGCTTGTGTAAGGGGACATTGGTATGGACCCTAATACACGGAAACCCTAAACCACAAACTTTGGCACCCCAACCCTAGACCCTAAACCCTGCAGGACTGGGTCGATGGCCGCGCTGGTCGCAGCTGGAATGTGCATGCAGCCCTTAGTGCCCTGCCTTGCGGGCACCGGCTTGCTTTGCTACGTCAGCTGGCATCAGCTCAAGAAGCTCGTGTCCCCCAGCGACTCTTCTAACAATTCAGACAAGAAGGAGAAGAAGGTGAAGAAGGAGAGAGACGGAAATGAGGAGCCGAGACAGAATCCAAAGACGGGCTTCCAACCACGCTCAGATGAAGAAGTGAAGCAGACCGTTGAAAGATGGCTCGAGCACGTGCATCCTCGTGCGCTAGATTTCTTTTCCACAGAGCAGCAACTTCGAGAAGTCCTTGAGAGCGTGGCCAGGGGTACAGATGCGAACTCCGATATCATCTTGAATGAGGGTTGTGCCTTCTGGTATGGCGATGTCACGAATGATGATCTCCAAGCATCTATCAGGATGATTAAGCCCGGGGAAACGACAGAATCGGTCACCTATCTCAACCGTGTCTTGGCCTTCATCTTCGCGGATGACAGAAGCTTCAAGGCGTTGATGAAGCTGCCAAAGGTGCCGTTCAAGATGAGTTCCTTGGTATTGCTTCATTGGGAAGGGAGGCATGCATCCCTATAGCAGTCCCGATGTAGTGCCTCTAATCGTCCTTATAACCCTTTCCTTGATGGAACGCTGGCTGCCGGTAAGGTTGTGGCGACCAGCTCTGCGTGTCTCTTTCCTGTATGGCTGCGGAGGCAGTGCACATGGACTCCGAGAAGACAGAGTCCGACGACGACTCTGATGATTCGGATTCTGATTAAGGTGGTCAGGACTGACACAGGTCCGCGAATGTGGCATGTGTCAGTCAAGGTTATGGCCGAAAGCCGGCCGTGTTGCAGCGTTGCAGGCCGACGAAGGACGTCCCTGCAGGTACTTTATTTCCCGGCACAACGGGTTGTTTCTTGCTGTCAGCAGGCAGCGTTTCAGAAACTGTATTCTTGCCAATTTTCCCAGGCATGAAGGAATGGTCTGGTTAACGGTTACCATTCAGATGCCACAGGAGTTATTTTCGAGATCCATTCCTTCATTTCCCAACAAAGAGGGGCAAGTATTGCACAAATGCCTAGATGCCGCAAGGGTTGCCTTGAACAGCATCCTGTATCTCAGTCATTTCGCTTGCGAACCACGGACCCCCGTCCCGTGAAGCTTCAGAAAGACCGAGCAGTCCGTAGTCAGCATGCCAGGTAGTACAATTACGTATTAAGACCCTAAACCCTAAACCCTAAACCCTAAACCGTGTATTAACACGGGTACGGTCTACCATTCTACTTTTCATTCCCCAGCAATTGCACTGCGGGGTATGTCATCATCACAAGTTCTTTTTATTGGGGGGGTTATCAGCAAAAGGATGACAGTAGTTTGGGATAAAAGAAGAAGAGGGACCCCGCTGTTGGAAAGTCTTGGTGAATGGAGGCCAGCGTCTGCTCAATGATATTTTAGAAATCTGGTTTGCACCTGCTGCTGCCTTGCCTGTCTTCATGATGGAAGCCAGGAAAATTCTATGGTTTAGGGATGAGACAGGGGTTATATAGGGGTTATAGGGTTATATTTGGGTGATATTGTGGTAATGGAAAATAGAATGGAAACTACTATTTAGGGTTTAGGGTAAGGGGCTCCATCAGCGTTTAAGGGTCAAGGCCTGAGCAATCACAAATGTGTAAGTCACTCTCATGGCTCTCCATGGGCTTGTTCCAGCACGAAATGGTACCCTGTCGGGAGGAGAAGCACCTCGCCAAGTCCCTTGCAGAATAAATTCTCGGTCTATGGATGCAGGAAGCGTATCCCAACTACATGTAGCAAAGTCCATGAGGGATAACACTCTATTACTACAAGAACAACTATATTACTATTATAATTCTCATGATTACTATTACTGATTACTGCTATTGCTGCTGCTGCTACTGCTGCTACTACTACTACCTACTACTACTGCTACTGCTACTGCTGCTACTGCTACTGCTACTGCTACTGCTACTGCTACTGCTACTGCTACTGCTACTGCTACTGCTACTACTACGATCACGACAACAACAACTACTACTACTAGTACTACAACTGCCACCCCTACCAGTAGTATCACTATTACCATTACTATTACTATTCTTGTTAACATTGCTATTGCTAACATTTTTACTCCTACTAGTAGTATAACTATTATTTCTACTACTGCTACTGTTATTAGAAGTAAATTAGAAGTATTACAATTGTTTTTGTGCTTCAAGGCGGAATCTGGCGCAAACACGAGGAGCAGCAGGCATATGGCGCGAATTTTCCCCCGCAGGGGGGATATCTTGCTAAGACGGGAGGGTCACGTCCTTGTAATGAAAGCGCCAAAATCAGCACATGAAACTTCCAGGCCTATATAACTTCCTATATAGCCCTTATATAAACTTATATAACCCTATATAACCCTACATAACCCTATATCCCTATATAACCCTATACAACCCCTATATAACCCTATATAACCCCTATATAACTCCAATATAACCCGTATATAACCCCGATATAACCCTATCTAACCCCTATATGACTTTGAATCCTCCGCACCCAGCCCTCAACCTTTCACCCAAGCTAAACCTGAGCCCACTCTACTTGGAGGTTCGGCGAAGAAAACACAATCTTTAACTGGCACATCAAGCACCAATCTTCAAGCCTAAATGTAAGTATATTTTGGGATTTGGAGCCCTAAATAACCCCATGTAATTGGGTCAAGATTTCCCTGAACCTCATCATAAACCCTAGGCAAAGCCTAAACCCTAAGCCTTTAACCCCAAACCGTGCGGATGCCAGGTTTTTGGCGCGTTGCTCCTGTACATAGGCCCACCTCATCAGTGGCTAAGGTCTAGGCTCCTAACTTTGGGCCCCTAATTAATTGGGTTTGTAGGCGTTTATAGGGTATGTATTCGAACACATCCCAGGGGTCCATTCTTGAAGCCTCAGACAAAGGCGGCTTTTCCTGGGTCGTCCCCTTGAGCATTAGCTACAAGTGGCTTTGATGAAGTGCACCCTTCGGATGGTTCTCGTCAAAATCATCGTTGCCATCGTGAGTGTCAGCTTGATTGCTGCCTTTATGGACGGGGGGCCTGCGCAGCAATGCAAAACCCTAAACCCTACTGAACTGTACAGGCTTGGTGCTTGGTTCCATACCCATGCTCATGGGCGTGTCTGCGGACGATGAGGGTAAGGCAGGGCGAATTGATGTCATGGGGTAATTCAAAGAGACTGGAGGCACAGGTAAGGCTTCAGGGCCAAGGGTCTATCAACATACGGGTACCCGGGATATCGGGATCAGAAGAGAATTTTAGGGCATTGTAAAACTAACCTATTTGATTCCCTTTTGGAGCTTGCAGCAGTGTGCGATAAGCACTTTTAATTGCTTTGGTAGACTCACATATTATCGGTGTGGCTGCTAGCACTACCAAGACGACTTCTATTCTTGGGTTGGCTGGCACGGTTTAGGGTTTAGGGTCTAGGCCTTTTGAACATGTGAATATTTTGACGTATCTAATCGCTTATTTTTCAAAGGGTTCCAAAGGCCCATCCAGTGTAAAAAGTCAGTAAGTATCAAGACTAGTACATGCCCAGTTTCTCCATGCTTGCTTACCTTCTAAATCCCTCTGGCCCTCCCAATAGAAGTATGCGTTGGGTACTGCCCCCACCCAGTAACATCAGCAACAGTTGGATAATACCTATTAAGCCCCTTATAACGCCCGTATGATACACTGATATGGGGTGGGGGCAGTGCCCAAAGTATGCGTGCGTGCTTCTGTGAGTGGCCGCCCCGGCAGGGATGCCTTGCACTGGTTTGAAAGTTAGGGTCTTGGATTTAGGGTTCAGGGTTTCAGGTTTAGGGTTTCAGATTTAGGATTTCAGCTGTAGGGTTTAGGGTTTATAAGGCTTATAATATGGGTTTAAGGTTTAGGGTTAAGGGGCTCAGGGTATAGGGTCAAGGTGCTGGTTACTGCCGTTGTGTAGAATTTGTACTACAGTTGCTATTGTTCTATCACTACAGTATGTTTTACTTAGTATTTAAGGATACTGTTTTGTTAATATTGTATTGTTATTGCCACTAAACGCTAATCCCTACACTCTACACCCTGACCCTATACCCTGAGCCCTAAACCTTAAACCTTAAACCCTAAACCCTAAACCCTAAAGCTTAAGCCCTAAAACCTCAACCCTGAAACCCTAAACCTGAAACCCTCAACCCTACACCCTAAACTCTGAAACCCTAAACCTGAAAACCTACACCTGAAACCCTAAACCCTAAACCCCGGAGTCCTTGAGGCCGCTGCCATTGTGCAGCAAAGCCTGGTGTTAGCCTGCTGGATGACCGAGCGGTATCTTGTGGAAGGCTGGGCCAGATTCATAGGCTTCAGATGGTTTAAAGAGTTTAGGGTTTAGGTTTTAGGGCTTAGGGTTTAGGATTCAGGGCTCTTGAGAACGAAAAAGGGAACATATGATATGGGGGTAATATGGAGATGATATTCCCGTATTCCCTACTAAGAACCAGTAAGTCGAGTTTAGAGGGGTTTGGGGGGTTAGGGTACCAAGTAGTATTTTGTGAAAGGCTGGGGCATGATTTGCGGTTCAGGGTTCAGGAATGTGATCTCTTGCGCTGAAGTGCGGAAAGCGCGAGGTGGCAAACTAGATTTAGCAAGTACTTTGGGTACTGCTCCCACTCTGAAACAGTCGGATAACATGTATAATGCTATTCTATACATATATGTATATATATATAATCCCGACTATGGCCCCTAATATAGACTGTTACAGGGCGGAGGCAGTACCCAACGAATGCTTGAAAAGTTCCTAACCCCTCCCCCTGCAGCCCCTCGCCTACTCATGATCTATGGACGAAGGCGAAGACGCAGGACTACAGAGAGGTTCCGATCAACCCAGAGACCCCAAGACTGCTAGGTGCCTATACCCTGAATTATGTTTCACGTGAGTAGTATTTTATTTGGGTATTCTATGGTACCCAATATAGAGTAAGATTCTATCCTCCTTTTGTGGTATAGTATTTTATATAATATAATCTTACTAGGTTCAACCACCAAAAAACACTACTCAGGTGTTTGTGTAATGGCATATGTGCCTCTTGCAAGTGGTGTTGAGCTCCGATGGAGAGATCCCATAACTTTCGAAGCACTCTTCGACTGAGGCCAGAGGTTCCGAAGCTGAAATGCCAACCCAAACCGGAAGCCAGAATCAAGGTTATAGGGATCCTGTTTACATTTAGCGAGTAAGTATGGGCTTTCTTATACATCTGCAAAAGAAGTCGTTCTTTCTGTCTAGAAGAATTGAGACTAAGAAGCTCCGATCTCCAAAGCCCGAAACCAAACCACAATCATCCTAACCCCTAAGCCCCAAATCATAGACGCTAATCCCTAAACCATAGACCCTAAACCCTTGGCCATAGACCCTAAACCCTAAACCCACTGTGCAGGCCGCCCTTTGCCGCTGCTGCAAAGCCTGCTTTGTGCTCTGACCCTTGGCCTTGGCCAGTCCCTTTGCTTACCCCAAGGGTTTTTTGGCTACTACATTCTAGTAGGTGGGGTTAGGGTTTAGGGTTTAGGGTTTAGGGATAACGGAAAGGAAAATGGAAACTACTACAATCTAGTAGGTGGGGTCATATAGGGACACTGGAAAAGAAAATGGAAACTACGACGCTATAGAAGGGTGATTACATTAAATAGCGGGCTCCCGGGCTGCAGGTAATATAACCTTTGTTTAAGAACTGGGGGACAGTAGCCCA